GGGTTGGTGGTGCACTTGTTGTCTTTGCTGAACATTGGCCTGATGCCTCTGTTGATGAGCTTGAGCTTGTCCCTGGTGGACATAAGCTTGTTGGTGATGCACCTGTTCCTGATGAACATTACCCTGATTCAGCCCTTGACCAACTCCATTACCAGCTCCATTACCTTGAGCCTGTTGCTCCTGAACTGGTTGTTCTATGTCTACCACGTGATCTCCTTGTTCTGCCATCTCAGTCTGATCAATTTGTCTACCACGTCTGTCCCTTCTCCTCCTTGGTACCAGAAGATTGATATTGTCGTTGAGAGGGAAAGGTGGACCACAGCTTCTTGATCTAGACCTAGTGTTCATACACCTGAAATCACAAACAGAACTTGAGAGTAATCAGTAAAAACAAGAAAGTAAGCACTTGATCTCAAGAACAGATCAGAGCTTAATGCTAGACAAACCACAATTTGGCAACGGCGCCAATTGATAACTAGGAGTTTTCAAGGCTCTTTATAGAGGTTATCAATCCCCTGTCTTGTAGTACAAGGGGTTTATCAATCCAAGAATGTGGTGATAGACATTAAGCTATGTAATCAGGTTCTGAATTCAAGCAAACAAGAGTGGTTTGGTTAACTAGAGACAACTACAAACTTAAACAGGATTAAAGACTAATGAAATGATTAAACAAGAACTAAACAATGGCAAATGATGAGAATGTATGAATGATGATGAGAAAGGTCTTAGACATGATAGTGGATTAGGATGCCTTCAGTGATAAACTAATGAGCTAATGAATCATATGATCAAGCAAACCATTCAACATAAACATCTTTAATTAAGTTAATCCTCTCATGAAGGTATTAACTCCTATGCTAGAACAGTTTCTAACCCAATCATCATCAGTGAAACATGAGTTAACAAGCATTAAGAATCAGTTTAATCTGTCATTTAAGCATATAGACAATCCTTCCCATGATGAATAACACTTAAACCTCTACAACCTTGGTTCACGCATTTCATCAAACACTTTTGGTGCATGAAATGCCCAGAATCTAGACCACATATGATTTGTATGGATCTAGCATAGAGAACAAGTTGTAGAGAATGGAATATGCATGATCTAACCCCTAAGCTCACTAATCTACCACTTAAGCACCCTAATCTACATATCTAAGACCTTAATATGGGATTACTCACTAATCATGATCAACACACTAGATCCTTTGCAAGATGTGTTGTTAATCATGATTAGAAGTGTGATTTGATGATAAGAAATGATGGAACAAGATGAAAAGAAACTTCAAATCGATATTAAACTCTAAAAACAAAGTGTAACAAGTTGTCTTTCACAAAAGGGGAAAAGAGACTAAAAGTGGATAAAAGGTTCTCTCCAAATTAGGTCTAAAAACAATATATAGGTGTCTTGGGCGAACCGGGTCAACCCGGAACAAACCGGGTACTGACCCGGTCTTAGTGGGTGAAGATGGGTTTGCCACGGTCAAGTGTGTTCTTGGTGTGGCCGTGGCAACCTGACCGTGTCAAAGCTTGTTCGCGTGTTCTTGGCTGCATTTGGATGCCACGGTCTAACAAGCCTCGTCCAAAACCCGTGGCAAGTGGTCGTGTTAAACGCCAAAGATGTGTAAAAGTTGCCATGGTCAAGTCCCAGACTGTGGCATTCAGACCGTGTCAAAACCCGCATGCTTGTAAAGTCCTTCCCAGCCAAGTATTTGTTTGCCACGGTCAAGTCCCAGACCGTGGCATTCAAACCGTGTCAAAACCCGAATGCTTGTAAAGGTCCTCCCAGCCAATTGTCTGTTTGCCACGGTCAAGTGTAGACCATGGCATGAAGATCGTGCCAATCGCCGAAGATTTGCAAAAGTTGCCACGGCCAAGTGTGGACCGTGGCATTCCATCGCGGCATGTTTAACTTATAAGCATATAAATTATCAAATAAACCCACATCCTAAACATTATCAAACACATAATCCAACAAATACACCTTTCATAAATTGTCAAGTTCAACATTAAACTTCACCATTCGTCCTAAGCGTTGGCAACAGCCGGATTCCCAACAAACTCTTCGTATGAGTCCATGGCGTATTTCTCCCTTAACCTGTCAACGTCATCGTCCGTTATCAAACCCATAACCTCCACTCCAAGCCCTGCAGCATGCATCTCTAAGAATTTGGCCGCACATGGGCCACAGTAACCGGATCTCTTGTTCTGATATATGCCCTCCAAACGACTCCATGTGTAAGGGGTGGTGCGTAGGCCTTCCGTTAATTTGCTATCCAAATAACGCTTCAATATAAATGGCATACTTTGATACACGGGCGCAATATACTGCTCCACACCGCTTCATCATTATGACTGATGAATGAGTCCAAAATCTTTATGTTGCCCATTTTAAAGTCAATTACAAGGCCCACCCAATGCTCAGACCCCCAGTTCATCGGGACGTATACAACGTCCACAAACCGTATAAACATTTGCCTCTGACGCTGATTAGCCCACTTTGCAGGTTTTCCCAATACAATGCCCTGAATGGTTTTCCCCCAGTCACACTGATTTTTGTCTCCATATATGAAATCGTTGTAGTAGTTGCCGATGATGGATATGAACAAGGTGTCTACAAATGCTACCCTATCTTCCAATTATATTTCACCTCTACGTCTCTAAAGCATGGCCATTATGACTTGCATGTGCTGATGAATAACAAAACATAAATAACAAATAATACAGATAATTAAAGATTCAGTAGGTACCAACTATATACTTACCATCGTGTTAATCCACTCAGTAGGCTTCGCAATTTGTAGAAAGAATTGATTGTTCACAGTATGACCAGTGACAATGCAAAAGTCGCTGTAATGAGAGCAATTGGTAATTAATAACAATGAAAGTTTAAGGATAAATTGCTTTGCATACGATATAACTTACATGTTTCTTTCACGCGATAATAACTCCTGGAATGCCTTGAACTGGTCTTGTTCTACTGTTTCGAGTGGTCTGTACGCAGCTTTCGATCTAGATACAAATAGAGCTTTCACCTTTGAATCTGCGGTGTAAATATCTCAAATCTTGTCCGACCATACGCGTGCGCGTTTTCCTCTGCCTCTTCATCCTCTTCCTGTTCCTCTACCTCTTCCTCCTCTTCCTGTTCCTCTACTTTTTCTCTTTACACCAGACGGTCCCTCAACTTCTTGTGGGGGTTTTGGAGTACAAGGGGTCTTCTGCGAAGCATCACTTCATCCTCAGGCGCAGTATGGTAATCTTTCCCCGCATTTGAGTCCTCCTCATTAGCCACAGCCTACAAACCAGCGTAACAATAAAGCGTATAACATATCAATCGTATACCTAGCGTATACCTAAAGAGTACTGTATACACATGCATATCATATGAACAAGTTTAATGTCTGACCTGTGCATCCTGTGCATCTGTCTGCGCTTCATTTTTCTTATATGCGTAGCTCAATGGGTGAGCAGTCTGAGGTTTGTAGACTACTAAGGTGCCTGACACCAAATTTGTTCTACCACCATCCACCTGAATAAGTCATAAAAAACATAGCACAGTACACACACGTTATGAAACTTAATAGAGTCAGCTGCTGACTAAACAATTAGCTCACCTCGTTGAGGCCAGAAGGTGGATCTTCATGCGGATTGACGAAGTAAGGAGGTGGACGAGTTGTTCCTGAATTGGCTTGTTCAGGTTCAGGGGTCTTCGTCGGAGCTTCTGGAGTTTTCAAGTCTGCATGGTCCCTGGGAGAATAATGGTCCCCGCCGTAGTAAGTAGAGGTCCCTTCTTCATCTTCTCTTTTTTTTTTGGTGTACACCATCTTGGGGGTGTACACCATCATCATGGCGTACGCTAGACTGTGCACCATCATCACCTCCTTCTTCACCTCCATCTTCGGCTTCGTCTTCATCTTCCTCCGGTTTTTGACCACCTTTTTTTGGATTCTGTCCTTCGTCACCCTGTTCCCCATTTTCTTTAGACGGGTGTACATCGTCATCTTCTTCGTCCTGTTGGTATACGCCCAATCTCTTGTCCAACTCTGTCTTAATCTTACGAAGGAGTAATTCATTCTGACTTACTATCCATCTTTTAAGATCTTCAATCTGTCCACTTTCAGGGGTTTCATCTTCCGATAGATTAGAAGAGTTCTTGCCCCTGCCTCTTTTCCTCTGCATCTTACGTTTTTCAGTTAGATGAGTTTTCAGTTTCTTCTTCGGTCGGGTGGATGGCTCAGGTTCCTGTTCATTGGTAGCCTCGTCCTCTGCATCACTAAGATCCACAATAGGTGCTGGTGCCACTGCAAAATCCGAAGGTGTGAATTTATACCCCTCGGCCATGAGTTCCTGCATGAATGCAACTTCGGCATCCTCTACCTCATCTCCCCAACGCAATTCATTCTGTTGGTCATTGTCACCATCATCCACTACCATCTGTTTCACAGACAACTAAGACAAAAAAACAATTGCAAAATTACCAACCAAAATCACAGAGTACTTATCTTATAAGACAAGTACTACAAAATAAGACTACAAATAGTACTAAATATAAAACTACAAATAATTTACCAGAGGGTCGGATTCCACGGCAACTATGTCCCCAAGATGCAATAGTGTGATAACGTTTTGACAACCTTCGGGATCTTCAACGAAAGTCTTCAAGTTATCAGGTTGAGGAATTTTGGAAACCAACATTGGTATAGATTGGAGGCCATGAGTTGTAGTGATAGAGGGAATCCATAGCATGCACTGGTTTTCTGTTTAAGTTGACGACGCAATCGTGTTAAAGGATTCTCCCTTTTCTCGGCATCCGTCATTGCCTTCGGAGCTTGAAAACGAGATACTGTTTTATTAAAGGATACCTTCCCCCATGGATACAGCATGAACCTATCCAAGTCAGTCAGCATCTCAACGTATTTCTCGGTGAGGGCCAGATTTTTGCTATTGCAAAACAGAACACCGTCGACAAGAACGATTAGGGCCAATAGAAGCCGTTTCCATCAGGGTAGATCCGGGTCCTTTAGCATTTCAAGCACATCAAACACGTTCATAGCGGTCGCTCTTCCGAACAGGTCCTTCCAGATTCTTGTCTTTTCGACATCTTCTTCTTCTTCTGTGCTATCAGGTTCGGGATTGCAATTCAATCCAGTGATTTCCTTAAACTCCCGTATCGAATATCTCAGAGGCTTTCCACCAAAGAGGAACCAAATCTCGTGTTTCTTCATGGTCACAAGTTGTCGTGATAGAAGGGCATGGACTAGTTTGGCGCTGTTGCAACATCTTGCAACAGGTAGATGGAATAACTTCCCAAACTGGGAATGAAGTAGCTTCTCAAGATCTTTAGTACCCTTTAACGCCTCGACAAGGAGGCCAATGACATTGGCCTTTGAATATATGTTCAACCGAGCACCAACGGGGTAGCAACCATCGCCGAGGACCCTTTTTGGTAGTTTTTCCGAAAGGTTATTTGAAACTTCTCCATCTTCCATGCCTGTATTTGAAGCTTCTCCGTCTTCCATTCCTGTATTTGAACCAAAACAACAAATCCGAAATGCAGGAAAGATATAATATTTTGGATACACAGTTAAATGCAAACCAGGGGAAAATTTTGAGGGAAACGAGTTCGAAGGAGTTCCTTAAACTTCTGGAAAAACTACCCTATTCGTATGCTCTGATATATAAACTTCTGAAACTGTTTCTAGATGATATAAGAGTAATCCAACCGTTTTAATTCAATATATAGACATAAGTACTAGAGTTCATAACCGCTAATACATAAATCAGGCCAATCAGGCGCCCCGTTTCAATCTTAATTTGAGCTACAAACCGCCAGTACAGTTCAGACAATATCGAAGTTCATAAAAGTAACTTACTTTTAGAATTCTGAGCAGGCCATTCTAGAAGAAGAGGAGCGAATTGTAATTTGGAGCTACACCGCCGGCATAGATTGAGACGACTCGCGTGAATGGGATGTTCAAGCCGGTCACTCCGTCGCAGTGGCATGGGCGGTATGGGCGACTGCTCCGTCGGAGCTGTCTTCGAGTTACTCCGGAGCACTCGGCTCGACACCGGAGGCACAGTGTTGTTGCGCCTTAATGATTTTTTTACTCTCCGCGCCATTACAACGGTCAATCGGAGGGCTAATCGGAGATGGATTGCCGGAGATGCTAGATGGACTACGTCCAGATGTAGATCCCAAATTTAATTTTTCATTTAAATGTTTGGGTGTCGATAAATTATACATTTGATTTTACTTCGGTTTATGATATTGAACTTTGGTTTATAATTTTATGTAATCGGTTTACCAAATCGGATTTTATCAGAAAATTTTAGTTATTTTACTTTGATAATGGCAATTTTGAAAATAAAAAATTGCCTTAGGGCCCTTGCGGGAAGACAAACAGTAAAAAAAGCCCTATCCTTCATTGGTTTTGAAAACATCCTATTCCTCTAATTTAAAACTTAAAAACTACCAATACATCAATTTTCTCAAGAATCAAACTAAAAATTCCTAAACCCATTCACGTTTGGTGTTATTATATTGAATATCCCCACTTCTAATGCTTTTTGCCTTTATTGAACCTTAGGTAGAGATACTAAGTCAATATTGGTAGCATTCCATCTGAAATTTCTCGAAATGGAACCTTGACAAGTATAGTAGTTACCCATCACCCATGCTACACTGAGGCTGAACCAAATTTTTAGAATCTGTGGAGAACCCAACTACGTGTGATATCATTGCACTTTTACGTAATGAAATTTCTATTGTAACTGTCAAGTAGTTGTTCAATGGTTGTACTATACTAGATTTTAATTCGCGCTATAGTTCTGGCCGGATAATTTGTGAAGAAAAAATATTTAAAAATTTAAGAATTTTTTTCTACTTTATATGTATAAATATATATATATATATATATATAACTACTGATTATAGATAGAGATGTCAAACCAAACAAATATGTGTTAAATCTGTTTTGAATTGAATTAAATTTTTATTCTTATTAACCCAAAAACTATACTCTTAAACTCATAACTTTAATATGCATCGTTTAAAGATTCTAATTTTTAAGACCAGTACACGAAGTCTTACAAAAATTTAATTTTTTGAATCTAAGTATTTATAAATTAAAAAAATATATTTTTACTATTTATTTGGATATATATATATATATATATATTCAAATAAAATATAATAAATTATAATAAAATATATTATAAAATTTTGAATAATATTTATAGAAAAGCCCCAAACCGCAATCATGAAAATTATTAAATCATCTTCTTTTTCTTCACGATTGTGGTGCCATCAAAATTATAATTTTCCAGGCGATTTCACATCGACGATTAAATTAGTGCTGGTGATCATCTCATTTCACAGAGATAAGCTGTAATACCAAGACCGTGTGGAAGTCTTAGCAGAAACAATGGAACGAGCAGAAAAAGCTTGAGGAGCTTCGTCTCCAGATTGTGCAGGAGAAGGAGCGTTCTGAGTTTCACACTCTTCAGGAACAAGCCGGTCTCGTCCCCTAAGTTTTTCTTCATCTCCTTGCTCACTTCCGATTGATTTGCGTGGTATCTTATTTTGGAATTAGGGTTGGGTATCATAGTTTGTAGCTTATGATTTAGAGTAAATGTTCCTCCCTCTCCCGCGTTTGTAGTTACATATCTGTCGATACAAACAAAAAATAGAGTGCATGAGGTTTGAACATAAAGGTTTGGGTAGAGCATATCGTACCAGCTAAAGATGAACTGGCCATCTAGGACAACAAAGAGTGGTAATAAGGTGAAGATCTCCTAAATGTATATCATGATGCCAGCTAAAACCAATTATGAAAAAAATTGATGTTAAGATTATGTTCAAGTAAAATGAGCTAGTATATCCTAGCAGAAAAAATCTCCATAAATAAAAATCTTCTGGTGGGAGTTTGTAGTGCAAGTACTCTAGCTACCACCTAGTCTAGTACTAAAAAAAAAAAAAAAACTAGCATGTAAAGTCTAGAAGCACATGGTCTTACTCATCATAGTTTTGTGTCAAACATTCCTGAAAAATATTCAAGGTCTTTTAATAAGCATAGAAAGATTTAAAAATTGCAGAAGAAGATAAGAAACAAAAAAAAATATTAGTACGGATAAACATCCTCTCCCAGACTTAAATCACACTGTTCCCAGTGTGAAAAAATTGTTTAGAAGATGGTAAATAAAAGCAAAAGAGTCTAAAAATAAAAGAAAAGAAAATGATGAGGTGATGGATGGGCGCCTATGTCTCATGGCTGTCGTCTGTCTCTGTGGCAGAAGAGTCATCATCAAACCTGTAGTTCTTCTTCAGGAACTTCTTCATGTGCCTATTGATCTTCTCATGCTGATCAAGCTTCTTCTTCAAAGCTGGAAAGTCTGCATCACTCCGAGTGGATGCTCTGGTCTGAGTAGAACTGCCTCGGGATGAAGATGGTGCATGCTGAAGTCTCATGCTGTTTGAAGCTACCTCTCTCTTGGCTTTTTCTGCCAGAAATTTCTTCATGGTCAGAGGTAAGAAAGGCAAAGATGGTAAGAAATCGCGGGTCTCTGATCTCTATCCTTGGTCTGCTCTATCTCGGATTCGGAGCACTGAATCTAAAGGTAAGAGAACCCTTGACTCGGTGGTACTATTGCAGAACTTGTAAGCAAATCCAATGGGGTCCATCTTGGCCCTGGTAATAGTCCTGTCTCTAAAGAACTGAGAGAGATCGAACCAATCTTCCCTAAGAGGTGTTTCGGCTGAAAAATCAACTCCTGCTGCTACCATAAGTGAAGTAATGGTGCTTCCAAAGGCTGGTGAGTAGTTCAGACCCTCAGATGTAAGCGTCTCATGCTTAACCTTTACTAGGTCCCTTGCAATGATGCAAGCAAATCAAGGGAATCTTGGGTGATCTGCGAAAGGTAACTGAAGTGTCACCAGCTCAAGTTTGAGGACATTCGCCTGGTTGGCTCTGGAATACATAGTGTGTGCTAGCAATTTGTGCACATATCGAACAACAGGGTGAGAGAGAAGTGATGCTTTGGACCTTCATTTGTCATAAACTCCATAACCCATTAATTTCCAAAGATCCTCATTTGGATCTTTCTCTAAAGCAATCTCATCATACTATGGCAGCTTCAAAGCATCACACATCTCCAAAATGGTAAGAGAATAGAGATGATCTCCAATAGAGAAGGAGAGTGTGCCATCTAGAGCTCTAGGAGTAGCTCTCTTCTTGTAGCACAAGGTCGCTGATGCAAAGAAATCTTTGGTGTGGCTCTCATAGGTTGGAAAACTCTGCTCCATGAATGATCTCATTCCAAGCCTATCAAGATACCATATCAAATATTCTCTGATTCCAAGCATCTCAAGAGTAGAGTAATCGATTGCTGGAGTTGGGTTGATCTTCAGCTTCTCAAGTTGCTCCAAATAGTTGATGTCTAGATCAATGGCTTTACAAACAAACTTCACCTTCGGCCTAGAGGAAGACTTAGCTCTCCGAGGTACATATTTTTGAGTGGGGGCTCTCTCAATCTCTCCTGAAAATATTCTTCTCTGTGCTGATATAAAGGTCTCTTTTACTCCCATTTGTCTTTGGTTGACCCGGTTTGTTGGAGACACTATATATATGTTTTAGGGTTTCTTAAGGAATATCTCATTTTCCTTTATGCTTTTTGCCTTTTTAATGAAAGAACACCTTTTTGAGAGAGAGATCTCCCATTTTCTGTATAATCAAAAGAGTTTTGAGAGCTTTAATAATCTTTTATTCATCATCTATCATCATCAACTAATTATGCTTATCTACCTATCTTGCAAAGGATTTAAGGAGATAATCATGATTAGTGAGTAGTCCCCTCATTAGAGTTCTAGATATGTAGGTTAGGGTGCTCTAGAGATTTGATTAAGCTATCTTAGGTCTAGATCCATGTTTTCATTTCTCTAAATAGCTGATCTCTATGCTAGATCCTTGCACATCACTTGTGATCTAGAATCTAAGTTTTTCATGTACCAAAAGTGTTTGATGAAATTCCTTTGCAAGATGTGTTGTTAATCATAATTAGAAGCTTTAAACGATGAAAAGAAATGATAAAGAAAACACCTTTATTGATCCAAAACGAGATATCTCTTCCCAGAATCTGGGTTTTCTTACAAAAGAGGCAAAGAAACTAAGAGAGAATCAAAGATGTTTTAGGGTTTTTCCTAAAAAACTATATATAGCAAGGGTTTTGGGTCGGATCAGCCCAGGATAAACTGGGTACTGACCCGACTCAGTTGTGTCTTGTGCCTGATGTGCGAGATGTTCACTTCCATGCCCAAGTCGCACGCCCAAGTCGGTCTCATCTGCGAACACATGTGCTAGATGGTTCGACTTCATGTCCAACCCGCACACCCAAGTCGCACAGATTTTTGGACTTAGCCAAATTTGATTCTGGAAGTCTCTACCCTTCTCAGAGTCTCCTTACACGCATCTCTAAAGTCTCAGTTTGATTCCAGAGTATGAACATTCATGGGTGTGAGTTTACC